TTTAATAGTATAAATTATTATATTATTTAATTAAATAATAAACTGTATATTTGAACGTACGATTTAGCATTAAAGTCAACTTGTGGGTTTTAAAGGAAACGATGAGACTCATTGGAGGAGTTTTAATATCAAAAAGCGCACGAAAACGTTACAAATCGAAACGGACTGTGAAATTGTGTTGAGTGAAAATGTGATTCTTCCAACAACACAAGTCGTTTCTATCGGCAATTTCGTGTTTTCAAATTTGACACTCGAAAAGACATAAAGTGGGTGTTCACATCATTTGGGCAATTTTAGTGCGAGTACAACACCATTAATTGGATTTGACGACAACGACATTCTGTTTTTTGGTAGTTCGAATGATCCAAGTTTTTCGTCCGACAAATTAAAGTTGCTTGTGAATTTCTCGAAGAGTTGCAATTAGTGTTTGAAACTTCTTGAATAAGTTGTGAGTGCATTTTCGATGGAAAGTAGAGTTATGAGGACTGTGAGAATGCTGGGGAGGTAGAGAGGCACCACACATTAATTTTGGAAGAGAATGTTGTGTACAATCGAATTTACAATTTCAGAGAAATCATCTTCAACAATGGAAGAACACTCACCGAAAATGTTGAATGCGAAGTGTGTAAAATTAAAATTTTTGATTTATTAATAAATTTTATTTAATATGAGATGAAATGGATGTTGCGGCTAACAGTGAAGTGGCACTACATGGATCTTTGACAACAAAAATTGTCACCATGAGTGACTATTTTCATATTTTACACTTACAACATTTTGAACACTGAGAAGCTTATTTTAAACGCAATTTTGAGAGCTTCTGGGAATTCAACGAAAATCGGGGAGTTTCAAAGTATTAAGGCAAATACATTGCAAAACAACTTGGATATATTGGCATTGAAAATTCTGTTACACGAGGTGTTGTCGTTTAGCACGAAGAACGACATTTATATTGGATTGAGTAAAGGAGAACAATATCATTTGATGCCAATTCTGTGATTTTAGGTAACGAAATTGTCAAATTGGGAAACGTCTTTGTGACACTAGAAATAAATGCAGATAACATGGGTCAACTTTCTATAGTGTCAATATTTAAAATACCAAGCGAGTTCTTATTATAATCACAACCAACAGAAAATCTGCTTGTAATTACAGAAGCAACAACTTTGAATGGTGTCACTGGAGTTTATTCAATAATTAATAAAGGTTATTTACGACTTGTGGTAGTTTAATTTTATTTATTGTATTCTTATAATTTTGTTTTTGGTTGGTTATGTTATAAATTGGCAATAATTATTATAAAAAATGAGCTCAGTCCATGCATGTCAACCATCATCATATCAATATTCAGGTTCTATTATGTATGTTAACCATCATCATATTTTATCATATTATTATATTATATATTATTATATTTTATTATTATTATATTATACATATTCAGGTTAGATCATCCATAAAGACCATCATCATACAAATATTCAGGTTCGCTATATTGACTTCATTGCTCTGATATTTGAATTAGTAATGTTTTTAATTTTAGTTATATTTGAAATTTAAAATTATGGGATTACATTATTATATAGTATTGTATTATTAATAATTAATTAATAATAGTTTTAATAATTTATATTAATTTCTTTTAATTGTTTTAATTACATTTTATGATACTTTTTTTATATGTATTGTTAAAAAAATATAGTTTACTTATTATAGTGCTTTATTAATTTTTTTATTTTAGAAGCAAATAAAAGAGAGTTGACTGAATTAAGAAACAGTACAGCTAAAAACAAGAAGAAAATAGTAGATTTGGAACAACAAGTACAAGACCTTGAATATAGATTAGTTGGGACTTCAAATATCGACAAAACTAAGGTCATCAAGAAAGACAACCAAATTGTTGATTTGGAGAAAACGGTTGTAGCGTTGAAAGAACAGAACACTCAACTTGATGCTGCTAAGAAGGATATAAAAAAGCGATTGAAGACGCTTCGAAGATTGAGAATTATGAATCACAGATTAAGGCACTTGAAGCACAAAAAAGAAGGCTTTGGACGACAAAACTAATGAAAAAGACTGCCTCGGCTTTTCAACTAATCTGATAGAAGAAAGAATGTGGAAGACCAAGTCAAAACAATAAATGCACAATTCTCGTCACTTAAAGTCCAAGTCAGTGCACCAGCTTCTGTTGCTCAAGAAGAAGAGAAGAACGTGTTGAATGCAATAATAACTTAAATTCAAGCTCAACTTGATGAAGAAAGACAGAAGGTTGATAGTGCAGATGCATTTTGAAAGGCTGTTGATAGCAAATTACAGTAAGTCCAGTTCAACTTAGATGAAGCAAATAACACTAAAAGTTGACTAAAAGGCGAATGACTTGACTGTCCAAGTTGATCAACTTACTGATGAGAAGAAGAATGAGTAGGATTTGGAGGAAAGGGACAAGATTATTAACGACTTGAATGCTGAAGTTGACAAAGCACATAAGCAACTTGACACTGCAAATGATGACAAAGATGGCAATAAAGCGATGAAATAGAAATACCAAGACAAACTGAAGAACGTTAGAATTGAACTTTATCAAGAATAGAAAGACCATTCCAAGACCCAATTGATTAAAGGCAAGTACGAGAAGGATATCGCTGAAATCATAGTCAGAGCTGTAACCCTTGAGAAGAACGTCCAGATGGCTGAACAAGAGAAAGTCAAGAGTATGAGAGATTATAAGACTGCTTCTGAAGAATTGATGAGAATAAATACATAACTTGACGAGAAACAAGACGAATGCGACAAACTTGAAGACGATATGTCCGAGATGAAGACTGAATTAAAGGCTCTTGAACAAGCTGCTAAGACTTATAAACAATCAAATAAAATGCAAGAAGAAGTTGACTGAACTGAATGAACAACTCGATTTTGAAAGAACTATTGCTCAACAGGCTAAAGCACAAAAGAAGAAATATGCAGACAAACTCAGAGAAGTGATGGAGAACGAAAATGAATTCGGTGAATATAAGGAACAAGCCGGGAAATCCATTTACTTGCTAGACTGCTCAAAATGCTGATTTACAGAAGGAACTTAAGAAGGAGAGAGCAATCAAACAAGACTGCTGATAAGAAGACTTAAAACTAAAGTCACCGATTTAGAACTAAATTGGCAGACACTGCTGCTGTATTTGCGTCAATTGAAAACAAAATGCGAAACAGAATTGGACGAAATTGAAACAGAAAAGGAAGAAGTACAGAACGCTACAGCTAAAGCCGAGAATCTAGAGAAATGGTATGTCAGTAAGATTGAAGAAGTGAAGAAATAGCTAGCAAAGTTGGGGTGGATAATTTTTATCTACCCATACTTATCATGATCAGTTTTCCATTTTTAACCGAACAATCTTTTCACCACAAAAGTATTTTAATTTTTTTTATTTTAAATAAACAATAAATATAAATGAAAAAAAACGAAAACTACAAAACACGTTAAAGTTCAAAAAATCAACTATTTTTTGGTTTGGTGCTTTTGTTTGCCAAACATTTTTAAAAATTCTTTTGTCTTTTTGTTAATAGAAAGCAGCTGTTTTTTCTTTTTGTTTTATTATCATTTGACTTTGGAGCACTTTTGAAATAACAATTGGGTGAATTTGAATTATCTACAGTTTCAGTTACTATTCCACATATCAAATTCGATTGGCTCGAATCGTTCGTTAATATTTGTTCAATAATCAATATTATTATCATTTCCTTTTTTAATTATTACATGATCTATTTGTGGATAACTTACTGCATTTTGAATCTTTTTTAAATCAATACTTTCAAATGTTTTTCCTTCTGATTCAAAAACACATTCAAACAAGTTTTTCGAATGAAATTTTGCAAAAATGGTATTCAACAACATTTCATCAATACAATTTATTATTTTATCATTGTAAAACCGATTGACTAACATTTCAATCAGTGCCACCAAAAGGTATGTTTTTATTGGAAGTGAATTTCATTTAAACAATGGGAAGATTTTTTAACCCAAAAAATTCAAAATCAATTTTAAAATTACCATTTTTAATATAAGTGCCATAATTATTTATTAATTAAATGCAATCACTAGTAAAATATTATAAATCATAAACCTGCGAGTAGTAAATATATTATATAAATAATTATAATTAGAAGTAATTATTTTATTTTATTAAACTAAAACTAATAATAATAATTATTAATGTTAATAATTAAAAATATAAATAGACAATAAATATAATGCTTTAAAAACTGGGATATAGACGTTCTTTAATAATCTAATAATTTAATCAAATAAAACTATAATATATAGTAAACAATATGCCGATAATAAACCTCTGTACTTTAGTAGATAATAGTTATATTATTCTTTAATAAAAAATACATAAATTGTAAAGAGTGTTAACGTGATAGGGCGTGCCCACAGGGAAATGGTGAATCCCTGTGGATTGGTTTATTTTGTGTGGATAGCCTCTTATTTTTTTGTCGAAAAAAAACAAATATCCGTTTTAAACCATATGTTATGATTTTTAAAATTAATAATTGTTATTTATGATCATTTATGGGACAAAAATGATACATAAACATGAATACCCCCATATAAAGAGTTATTCCAATTTTCGCAATAATTTCATAGTAAAAAAAACGCTATTTTCAGCCTTTTTGTGGAGTGGTAAAATAAGAATAGATCAAAATGAACAAATAAAATAACTAACAAAATTTACGTGTATTATCCCGTTTATTTGATATATGTAACGCTATTTTTTTCGTTTTTTTAATTGAAAAAACATTTCAAAAGTGATTTATGGGATTATAATTTGGGATAATTCCGGTTTTTGCATTAAAAAATATTTATTTTTACATCAATTTTAAATTATATTATTTTATTGTTAATTTGGCTCAAAATGCATTTATAATCACTTTTAACTAATAGTATTGTAATTTATGTAAACACTCTATTAGTTTTTATTTCAATAGTAATATTTGGGAATTGAAATTTGTTAAATAAAAATCTTTTAGTTGGCGCAAATTATACGCATAAAGACGGGTTTAACATCCTAAATAATATTCTGGTTTTGTTGAAAATGTTAAAGAAAAAGGTTTTATGTCTAAACTAAACTATTAATCAATAACAATCAATTATATTACAATAGTACATTATTTATTAACATAAAAATGACAGAATAATCACAAAACAAATTCTATTAACATAGTTAAATAAAAATTAATTTTTACTATAAAAAGGTTAAAAAGTTAAATGGCAAATTACCACATCGTTACCATAAGTTATTTTTTATGTTATTAAAAAATCATAACAATACTAGTTAATTAGAATAGAAACATACGGCAAATACCAACAAAAACCATCAAAAAATACAAGTCTTGTTACTCATTACATCAAACATGTAACAATGAAGATTGTCTGTCTATATTTATTATCCACACCTTTTCAGCCTATCCACACTTAACTATACCGTAGTTTTTTTGACAAATTATATGTTATTTTATAAATTATTCAATTTCAATAATTTTATTGATTACATATAGTTTATACAATTAATTAGATAAATTAAAGTTAATTTATAAAAAACTTTAGTCTTAAAATTTTTAACAAAATTGTTTTTTTGCGGCAAATTCATTTAAATGGTAAAAGTAAAAGATGACTTTTACTAAAAATAAAATTTGTTTTTTCTGTTTTAACTTTCAAAAAAATCGGTTTTTTATGAATTCGGTCCAAAAAACGTATTTTTTTCTAAACTCTTAGACAAATTTTATATCAATTACAACACAAATGTGTAAGATTTTCAAAGCCATCCACATAAAAGTGGTCTATCACGTTAACACTCTTAATTATTCCATAAAAATAAATGTTTTTGTATTTATTTGCTATAAAAAATAAAAAAACAATTATTATATTAATGGTTTTCTTCAATTTGTAAATTCCAAGAATAACGAATTTTCTTAAAACATCACAAGTTCCCGCAAATTTATACAATTTTAGACTGATGAAGGCGGGTTTTAATAATAATGAAAATATTGTCATTTTTTAATAAATTTGTAAAACAAAACAGTAAATATAGTGTGGTAACTGCACCTTCTGCTAATTTTTCATAGATAATTATAATTAATATAAATTAGTTGTATAATTTGAAAATAAAAAGCCTTTTGTTATTTTTTATATAAAATATTAAACTTTATAAAGATTATAATTAATTTAAATTATTTGTAATAACATACATAAGACTTAGTTATCATAAATAAAAAATAAACAAATCACTGTCAAACAAATTCTAAATAATAAAAAAGTAAACAAAAATGAATTTCTCTCAAAAGTTTACACATTTTGAAAACTCCATCTACAAAATATTTACAATATAGATCACACGAAAAAGAAGGAAATGCATAGTGTCAAGAATGCAGGAGCGATAAAGGTCGAGAAGTAATTTCTATTAAAACAGACTTGAGTACAGATCTTGGTGGAAGTAGCAAATACTTAGAACAGGAAAAAAATATCTAAGGACTGAAAAGGAGAAAGGTTCCTAGATAACCTTAATTGGATTGGGGTGAATCGATCCTAAACAACAAATGTAGATTTAGTAGAAGAAACTGAGCTTAAAAAGCGTTTACGCATAAAAGGGAAAAAGACTAAAAGTTCTTTATCAATAGTCAAAAAGTCAAAAAAAACTGAGAAAGTGGTAACAGTGGATGAACTTTGATATGGGGTATGACGGTAGCGACAAGAGATCTCTTTTCTTGTAAACACGGAGGAATGGGTATTTGAATAGAGTCAATCAGAGGTATGACTGTTATACCCATTAAAGAAACGGAGCGGTTTCACATTCTTTAAACAACTATATCAAAACTTTATGAAATAAACCAAAAAATACAAATGTGATAAAAACAAGAAGTTGTGCATAATTAATTGACTCGTTATAATAAATAAGTTCTTTGCTAAACATTGCAAAGAAGTCTAAAAGAATAAACGAATATGAAAAGAGTAATCTTTAATGTTTTTGAACTTTTTTTACATTTTTTATTGGTCATTTTTATGTTGATATTTT